AGATGGGAAATCTTCCAATGGGCACACTAGTGCTGATGGCAATAAGTTTTGGAGTACAATTTAAGATCCAAATTAATCCAAATTAATTTAAGATCCAAATTCGCTGAACACTGAAAAATGGCCTGGCCAGGTAGGGGATCTAAACACCTGGTATTCAAGCGGTTAAATAACTAAATCGGACGATAAATTTGTGCATAGGCCAGGATCTTTATCAGCCTTGGGTATTAAAGTAATATGCGCTTCCAGGGTCTGGGCAGGAAAAGCAGTCCTTTGGAAAATGGAATTAAAAACCTTCAGCAGAAAAGGAGTCAAAGACTCATGAAACATTTTGTAGAATTTTGCTGTAAACCCGCCAGGGCTCTTGCAATTAGGTGAGGCTTTAATTATCAACACTAGTTCTTCCAAGGTAAAGGGGGATTCCAACAACTCAATGATATTGTCTGACAGTTTAGGAAAGGGAGTATCAGCAATATAAGAAACAATCCAGTCCTCCAAGACTGAAGGTGCACAAGGAACAGATGAGGGAAGCTTGTAAAGAGTATGATGGAAATCGCAGAATGTTTGAAGAATCGTGGAGGAAGAAGGATATCTCAGCTAGAGTGGTCGGGGCGAGGAGATTTTTGAGGAAGTGTTTCCGGGCAGTGTAACTCATGGAAAGCATCTAAGATTTGCGGAGAACGCTTGAGTAGCTGGATAAAGACCCCCCCCCCAAAGAACCACTTTTATGGCTTCCCATTGATGTGGAAAAGGAGTGGGGTCAGTAGCGGGGTTAGTGAGAAAGTGCTCAATAGTAGTTTGGATAAGAGAGGCACAGCGTGGATCCAGGAGTAAAGAATCATTGAACCGCCAGGTCCAGTCCCTGCAAAAAGCCAGAGGAGGGCTAACATGAAAAAAAAAAAAACAAGAATGGTCGGACCAAATGGCAGCCTCTATATAACATGCAGGGGACCAAAAAAAAAAATAGAGACAAGAAAAGGACGATTACACCCCAAAAAAACAAGTAACAAACGGATCGCAGTTAGAACAACCCAAACTGGAGACAGAGTGGGTACGGCCTATGTGGGTTGTGTGACCAAAGATGGGAAGTAAGCGAGGTGCAAACAAGACTAGCACAAACCAGTAGATAAGGGCGCATAACAATAAAACAAATGGCTAGAAAAAAGGGTAATTAAACCATCGATAGGGGAGAAAGAAGAAAGGCCAACAAAACGGACCCAGAAACACGGCTATCTGAGAAATTATAAGTGCAGGGAAGACTGCCCAATGGGACATTAAAAATACATAGGAAGCGGGATTGATATCTGCTAGGCACAGAAACACAGGAATTTCGAAAAATGACTGTGCACAATAATACAAGAGTGGCAGTAGATTTAGAATGAGCTGGTCATCAGTGGCGTAACAACCGGGGGGGTAGGGGGGGCACTTGCCCCGGGCGCAGGACTGAGGGGGGGCGCCGTCACGACCCCGCTAAACTAAGCCATGGCTCCCTCTCTCTGACACGATCACCCGGCTGTCATCGGGCGGCCGCTCGCTCTTCCGAGGCCACTGCGAGCGGCCATCTACAGTGCCTGATTGGAGGGCGCGTCTGCCTGATCCAGCCAGCCAGTCCGGATCGCTATGTTCTATTCTTAGTTCTATAATGTCATTGTAGTACTTTCAGGTGGAATACAGCTTCATAACATATCAGCTAGGGAACTACAAGTCCCAGCATGCCCTCATTGCCCCTGTACAACAACCAGATATTGCCGTTCCCTGGGTGATATGTGTGGGGGCGGGGTGTACAGGGACAATGATGGCATGCTTGGACTTGTAGTTCCTTAGCTGATATATATGTGTGGGGGTGGGGGGTACAGTTCTAGTGGATGTTTATATAATATAAGGGGGGGGCGAAAAAAAATGTTCTGCCCCGGGCGCCAATAACTCTGGTTACGCCACTGCTGGTCATAGAACCAAACCCAGGGGAACGTCTCAGGTATAGAGATATATTATATAGCCATCAATAACTAAACCCTCCTAAGGCCCCCACCAACCACAATACGGGAGAAGGGCTAATAAAGGGCGGGAACACACATAACCAGTGCCCAGCACGATACCACCTTGCATATACATATACAGGGAAATAATACTACTACGCTGAGGTAGGAATAAAGGATATTGCGACGGTCCACCACAAGAACAGTCCACTAAAGAAAAGTGAGACCGAATGGAGGAAAGCCACGGTGGAGTTGGTGGGAAGTCCCGAGCAGAAACACGGTAATCCAGCAGAAGTATTGGAGCGGGTATCCTACGAACATATTAAGATAAACGATCAGCTCGAGAGAGAGAGAGGTGAAGAAGAGACTGGGATCCTCAGTGCAGCCAATACAGGTTATAACCCTCCCTAATCTATCCAATACTAAAAAAGATTGGCCTTTTTATTTTAACTGGAGTAAAGTAGGACATTATCAAATCTTTAAAAGGAAATTTAGCATTTAAGAAACATGGAGGCTGCCATTGCTGATATTACCTTATGCTGGTTGATTGGCTTTAAAAAGCTTGTTTCAGTAGTTTCAGTCATTGATCTGGATCAAGTATGCTGATAAGGGCTTCTAAGTTTTTGCTGACTTGCCTGATCTGCATATTTGTTCCACGTTTGTGACACATAAAGTACTGAAATCCGCAGTAACTAAGCATAACTGCCAGAAGGTCAGCTAAACCACCCCTGAATTTCCCCCATGATAGGTTTACTTTAATTAATATATGTCCAGGAGCAATACTATAACTATACTATATCTAATTGTATATTTTGCAAAAGGTCTTGAATATTAGTTGTTATTTCCATTGCTTCTTGTGATGTTATTTACTTTTATACTTTGTCACAGCTGATAAATATTATTTTGCCTATGGCTGTGCAAAGGGTTTTTTTTAACACTGAGACAGGCCTGATCATATCCCTTGAAAAATATAACATGTTATACTCACACTATTCAGGACTAAAATGGCACCCTGGCCGAACTGGTAACACATTGTATGACATTTGTCATATCGTTTTCAAGGGGACATGCAAGGTGACAAAACCATAAATAATCTGAGAGCAGCAAGTTGCCAATAAGACTCTCCAGTTGTTAGTTTCATTGACAGAAAATCTCTGGGGCCAACTATGGGAAAGAGAGTAGCCTGGAGCCGATAAAATATAAAAACTAATTTGTCCCATTTAATAAGATATTATTAGAAAGTAAACCACTCTTCTTTGCACATGGAACCCTAACAGTGAGATAAGTATTTTTATTTTTGACTGAATTTAAAATGTAGGTAATTTTGTATATTATCCTCGCTTCAGGCAGTAGCATAAGAAAGTAGCCATATATAACACCTATTGCTGTCATATTTCAAATAGCTGAAGAAAGAATACCTAAACTCAGACACATTTGTGTATGATTTCCCTTAGGATTCCAATACTCACAAACTAAAGTTGTTATTTTGTGTGTTTTTTTTAAAATTTTTATAGCATATAAAGTATACTGAGATCTGAGCAAAAAAGCAGAAAGCTGAGCAAAGCACAAAGTTGATTCTTACAATCTGTTAGACCAGGGGTAGGCAACATCAGGACCCGCGCTGTTGTTGGACTACAAGTCACGTGAGGCATTGCAAAACTGACAGCCACAGGTATGACTCTGAGGCAGAGCCATGATGGAATTTGTAGTTTCCCTACAGCTGAGGTGCCTGGGTTGTTTACCCCTGTGCTAGAAATACCACCTGACACTCCCACTTGTCAATGCTAGAACTTCTCAATTGGCTGCTCAATGAGTTTTATAATTTTTAAAGGACAGGATAGTATGCACAGATGGTCTCCACCCAGAAGAACTTGGAATTTTAAAGAGGAGTGGCTGTTGCCAATCTGAATGATATTTTGCAATTATATATTTTTCAGCTCCACTGGTGAGATATTTCCACAGGAATTCACAGTCCTGTCCGACACCAATGGTCTTTAACCAGGTGATGATATGGCATCTCCATTATAATGTAAATAAATAATTGGGCCATCCAGCAGCAATAAACTCACCATTGATATTAAGTTGTGGAAAGGGAAAGAGGCAAAAATATGACGAGTCATCGGAAGCAGTGAGTGTGTCAACTCTCTGGTGTCTGCAAAAACTTAAATTATCAGTGGAACTTATTAAATGCATTTGAAATGCATTGTGTATATTTGGCAAAACCAATTATATTATTATTTACACAAATGAAATCCGTAAAAGATGAAATTGGATTGGTTTCTATAGGTTTTTCAATTTGGATTCCGTCATTGAACTTTGTACACAATACATTTGCACAGATTGTTATAATAACTCTGTGATCAGCGTTCTGGTGCTGCAGTAGAAGTTTTATAAAATTATGGCTTGCACTCCTGACAGTGGTTTATTTATTTGGGTCCAGAGTGTTCCCACACTGATGAGTCATGATCAGCCATCATACTGGAAGCCCACTATAAAAACTAATTTACCTTGTACTGACTACACTAAGTAAAAGTTGTTCCTTCAGTTTAAAATGTATGTCAATGAAGCAGTCCCTGCCAAACATCGATTAAATCTGTGTAACTGGCAAACGTGTATCATGCTATCATTTTGTAGTTTTTGTGGAATTTCATTAGATGAAAGTGCATGACCTAGCTAGAAACCTGTTCATGGTATTCAGAGAATAGCCATGGTGTATTTGGAACATTTAAGCCCTTGTATGCAAGTATTGTGGTAATAATAACAGTGATCTACAATATGTTGGAAGGCTTGATGCTGTGTATTCATTGCTGTGATTTAACCATGGATCAGTGGTAACGGTTTTTCATACAAAACATTTCTTAGACATTCTTCTCAGAAATACGTTTTCTCACCCTTTTGGTCCAAACCGCTACCAGCCCCATCCAATGGGCAGTCATTTTTATCAGACTCATGGTCTGATTAGCTATTACCCTGACCTGAAAAAAAAGGTCCCCCTCCCTTTTGATGGTTACAAATGAATCTTTGCTGCTATGCGTAACTCAGTCTTGAAGCATGTGTAGTGACTGACGCCTCAGAGTCCGTGTATAGTCCTGGTCTCATTATCTCTGGAGAAATGTCCTGCAGTGGCAACATTTCCACCCAGAAGAATGACGACTTGTAAGCCTTTTGTCTGCTTTTGCTGCGAATAGAATGTCGTTTTTTGTAGTTGTTCCAGATCTGACAGATCATTTCTTTGAATGGTCTGGTTGTGATGGTATACAGAATAGGGTTGAGTGCGCTGTTAATTGGCAATATGAAGATCACCACCCAGGAACTGATAGAACCTGAAACACACAATATATGAGATATTAGAGCAAAGTCTGTTACCCAAAAACCTTTTTTAAACATGTCTAATCACACCAATGAGTTAATACTGTATTTTGGGTGTATGAACAATTGACAGATTTCTGATAATTTTCAAAGGATATTTCCAATTTAATTAAAAATCTGTCATCTGCAGCTAACCCTTTCATGTAGTAACATGGAGAGGTTATACCTATTATAGGCTACAGTTAAACCCCACACAAATAAAGTGCAGAGGTGTAAACAGATGATTTTACCCATCTGCATTTTTGTAATTTGTGTTTAAAAAAAAAAAATCCTACTGTGATTGGCCTGTAATTACAGGAAATCACATGTTCCATAGGAATGCATAAAAATGCGTGTAAACACATACACGTGGGTTTCATTGTGCACAGGGAAGCTCTCTTCCCCACAAGAAGAATTTTAAAATGTGCTAAAAATGCACAAAAAGTGAAACACATTCTAAAGAATCTTTAAAAAAAAATGCATTTAAAGCACAGAAGTATAAAGGTGCCCTTAGTCATTGGAAGTGAGAATACTAGTATTACTATAAAAGGTGCCCATACACTGTACGATTCTCGTACGAGAATCGCGGGAAATCCCGCGATCGTACGAGAATCGTACAGTGTATGGAAGGCGTGCGACCGCTTCTACTGTACGGTCGCACGTCTTCCATCGAACAAGCAGGCTGGAAAACCCGCCGGGAATCGTACGATTCTCGGCGAGTGAGTGGCCTGCTTGTTCGACAACTGACGAATTTTTAAGTACTTTACAACCATCGCAAGACTAAGGTCTTGTGATGGTTGTAAAGTGTATGGCCACCTTAAGGAAGAGATGTATGTAAATGGGGGAATTCCTATGTAACCCTAAATTCCCATTAAAGGTAACGCTGGACAAGCTATTTGTGTAAATTATTGGGAACATATGAAGCTGAAAATATTGAAGCAGACACATCAACCCACTTACAGCAACATCCTGCATCTATGGGTTGGGGAAACTATCCATTGTATGCAGTTTAATATATTCCAGCAATGGCTCATCCTATATCATATATGCAGTAATTGCAGCTTTCAACGTGTCTGCTGGGGTATGATTTTGAACCTGCAGGTATTTCTACAACCCACAGTAAAAGTTATAAACAAATACCCAGTGAGCATTACTTTGATTAATTTATCATTACTCCAAATTTCATAGTGCCCAAAAGGGAACACTTGTCACGTGTTCAGTGCTCCCTTGTTAATTTGTGTATTGTTGAATATTGTAATCCTTATATGTGCCATGTTATACCACAATTAACACATGTGACAGGATCAGGTTGCATTGAAACGTAGTTTCCTATCGTATTAGGCTATTAAGAACAAAAAGGATTTAGAGAAATGCATAATTTTTAACATACATGATAGCTGCCTTGACTGTTTATGTGTACTTAACTCAAATGACCTCTTTTCTGACAAACTGTGGAATTATGGCATTGCAATCACGAACAAAACCCTGTAAGCATTCATTTGTTATAAATGTCCTGCAGGGGGCATTAAATATTAGCTGAAATAAAAGCTACTTGCTAATGGTACAAATTAACATATGATTTACCATCTGCAGTGTCTGCACATAAACTATATCTCAGGATTCTCATATAGCTATAATTTATTGGTGCTTGGAATTCATGATGGTCCTGTGGATTTAAGATTACACACAGCTGCTTATATTTAGGCTAAAAGGCACACAGATATTTAAGAAAATGACTTAAGCGGAAAATTAGAATTGGAAATTGATACCTGATAACCTTAATTTCCACAAGGTGCAAGGTGGCAATTCTAAAATTAACTTGGCTTCATTAGAATTGTAAATTAAATGCTCACAGTTGGAAAAAGTTCAAGCAAATGGTACGATTTATTTTTAGTTTCTTAACGCTTATGCTGTATGAACTCAGGCAGATTACCAAACATTAAAGTCATATTAGTCAGACCTCATGAAATTAATTAAAATATGCCTCCTCAAAAATTAGAGGTCATACTGATTCTAGGTTATGTGTCTTTACCACAGTATCTACTATCTTTATTAAGTTATTGACTGACAGCTTACCACAAAGAAGGTCGTCCATAGACCAAAGACTGGACTGTCTGATCCAAGCAATATTGTGACAACTAGAAGGCATATGGGTTAGCATGCTTGTTATAATAAATATGTTCAAATGTTGAAAGTTTAATTTGTACACAAGATTTTCAAATATGTTGGACATTCACTTACTTATTCTAAGGCAGTTTTCTCTATGGTAAGGCTGTGTTGGGTTTGATGGTATATGAAACATTGATATTGATTAAATATATGCTTTTCTATGGCCACTGGTTACTTTCCTTATTACCAAACTGTCCTCAGTATCAGCTAATGGTGCATTAAACAGGAAATTTCTCTGAGGGGGTGATGTTCCACATACACAATAGACAACTGTGGACTATATTGGTGCTATATAGACATAGAAAATAAAAGACAGTAATAATTTTCTTCTGATTGGTCTGTTTGGTAAATAGTGCATGTGATGTCATTAAAGCCAATAACCTTGAGTTAACAAATTTATCTTTAGGTCAATATACAATTGTTATTTCAAAATGTTCCGCTCCCTTACTGCAAAGTAAAACTCTGGGCTGTGTTTACAGGCTATGCCTATCTGTTATGTGATGACAGGGTTAAATTATTTTTTTTATTTTTTCCTTCTTTCCTTCTTTTGGTTTATTACAGACACATCAAGTATGTGGCGTAAACAATAGCTGCTGCTACAACTCATGATTATCTATATGGTAACATGACTAACGTATCAATATAGAACATTCCACATTTGCATGTTTCCCTTTTTTGTGACTATTAAGCATCAAATTCTGTGTAATATATTTATTTTGGCAAGCATTTCAAACACTTTACACTATAATTCCAGTTTCATCAAAGACAGACTACTCGTTATTTTTCATCTGTAAACTGATGTGGAACATCTGTTACAAAGAACTGTACAACAAAGAGATCTGGCTTATAAAACAAAAAAAGATTCACTTAAAAGCATTGCAAAGCTGTCACAGCACTTCAAAAATGATCAGAATGATGCTTATGATGCATCATAAAGGAACATAACAGCTAGCAATATGAGTCTCTCCCCTGAAAATTACTTTTATGCATTCAGAAACACATTAGTAACCACATCCAAATATTCCATCACAGACCAAGGTAGCAGGGGCTGTACTGCATTGCCCCCTTCTTCATGATCACCTCTATCTTAATTATTTTGCTCCAAACTCTAGACAACTGGGATTCCTCACACCTCTACCAGATGTTGGCTACTAATGTGAAAGGCATACTGCTATTAAGTGACAATTCCAAGTTTGAACTCCATCCTCGCCTTGCCGGCACAACCCAGCCACTGCACCTCGAGATGTGGCATCCACCAGACAATTTAGACATCTACAAGCCCAACATAACCTTTTAGAATGTTGAAGACCGAAGACCTTCTAATGTCAATTATAGAAAACCCCATCTTCCAGAATCCATCAGAATTTAGCACCAGGGCATGACAGAAATTCATATGAAAGAGATAACCCAAAATGTGACAGAACCAACCTCACTCTTCTTTGGAAGATAATTAAATAAAAACCCGTATGGCTCGGGCCTCATCTCTTTTTACACTCGGCACTGCTTGACTAAACATAGGGCAGTCCTACTATGTACAAAAAGTGGGAACTGGAGCTTTAATGTTGAATACCAGGGAAGACTTGTGTCAAATATGGCTTACTACATTCAAGAACTCGGACTATGTCCTTGTTGAGGAGGCAAACTACATGTTGCTTCTACGCTGGTACATAGTGCCCACGAGGATCTCTAAAAACCCACACACCTGCATTTCACAGATACCCATCAGAAAAAACATTCCTACATGGGAGGAGGCAAACTACATGTTGCTTCTACACTGGTACATAGTGCCCACGAGGATCTCTAAAAACCAACACACCTGCATTTTCACAGATACCCATCAGAAGAAACATTCCTACATGTAATATTAGATACTGCATTATCTAATGGTGTTATGGACAAAGATTGCATCAGATTTGCATGAAGGTAATAGAATTTGAATAGATATCGTAGACCTGTAGATCTGAGGAACAGCTCCCTGGTAATGGGTCTTTATCAGATTGCTGCAGGCTTTTGGCTATGGATAATGGTAATCAAGTATCACCAGACAAGCCAGCAAAATAATCCTCCCATTGCTTGCTGCTGTCTTGGATCGTTACACTTTGCCAAGATCAGAATTAATATGTTTCTTCTCTCAGAAGATCTAAAATATTAGTTGTTGGGAGATGAGTTACTCCTTCAGATAGCAAGATATATAAGCTGAATGCAGATACAAAATGGCATGTCCTGGCCTTATGAATCTACCTGCGGACCAGCCACATAGTACTATGGACACTTCCTGCGGTAGTCATGTTGTGTTTGGACTCGCTGTGTTCAGGATGATGCACTGGTGTAAAAAATCCTAACTCTGACCCAGACATCAGAACCAGATGGTACATGTAACCAAATTAAGTAGCATGAAAACGAACAAGTTAATTCCTTCAGAGCTTGTTCTGAACAAGTCTGTTACTGGCTTGCCCCAGGGTGCCCCACGACCAGCAGGATAAACAATATTGCCTATACTGTAAAGTTTACTTCTATTTTTCTCCCATATATTTTAGCAAATAGACAAGATTTCTGTATGTTATTTCCTTTCTTGTTTTTAGTAATTATTACTTCTGTGCATACTTCCGTGCACTGTTCTTCGATTTTGGCATATAAATATAAAATTAACAAGTTGATGTTGTTTTGTGTACTAAGTCTCTCTCAACCAGGGTCCCGTGGCTGAGAAGTTCAAGTTTTCCCTAAAGGGGGGGATTCTGATGTGAAGAGGGCTCCTAATGTGAAGGGGGTCTTCTGATATGAAAGTGAGGGACTCTGTTGTGAAGAAGGGGGGCTTCTGAAGTGAAAGTGGGGGACGCTGATGTGAAAGGGGGAACTCCACATCATTTTTTTTCTACTTTGCCCAGGGTTGCCCTTAAAATCTATACCAGACCCCTGGGGAAAGGGAAGAGGGGGGTGGCACATTTCATTTTTCACATTTAGGTTTTTAACATTTTAGACTGGGGTGCCTTGTGATTTTTGCATACTTTTAAAAGGTCCCATGACTGAAACAAGGTTGAGAAATGCAAAACTCCTACAGAGACTCGTGTGTTGCCTAGTGTGTTGTGAATGTATTATTACCAGTGCCTGCATGCTCAGTTGTACATATGCTGCTAATCTGTGTGAGATTGCATTGTGATGCTGTGCACTTAGGTTTCATACAATAAAAAACATAACATATATGCCACAGGCAGTGACAGATCTCATTCCCAACAACAAGGATCTGTATATATATACAGATGAAACTCGAATAATTAGAATATCGTGCAAAAGTAATTGCAGTAAGTGCTGCAATGCTTGCCCAGCAGACCAGTCAGCTGCTGAGCTGAGAGTGGTGGCATTTTACCTGTGTCTGATGAATGTGTGGGCAGTGGGAAAGGTGATTATTCATGGATTTTAACTTTCAGGATCCCTTGGGGATTCTCAGAAACTTGTGGGAATTTCCTAGCTGATACACAACCCTTAGAGTGCACCAGATTATATGAAAGGGTTGCGTCTGCCTGTGTGTGTCCAACTAGCTAGATTTTGTGAGTCTCCCTCTTTACTCATCCCTCTGCCCTCATACAGGGATCTTGTTTCGCTTAGCAGGTCACTGTTCGCATGATTCCTTGGTTGCAGCAGTGACATATTAGAGTGTGCATACTGTTGTCAGGTGTTTCCTGTGTCTGGATTGGCCTAACTCTGGGTTCTTGTGATAATTTGTTAGCGTGCTGTTCAATTTCTGAGGATGAACGATGTGCAGCAAATCCTTTTGCGTCATTCAGCCTCCCTTGTCCTAGCATCCTGATCGGTGACACTACACATTTGCTGGGAATGCCTAATAGCCAGAAGATTCTGGTCCTTATACACGGTCACTGGCATTTCATTTCACAACGGACTGTGCAAGGCTCTTATAAACAGGAGACCAGAGACATGTACAGCAACTCATTTTAAATTGATCACCCACATCAGGCCCGTGATAGCCTGGATTAAAAAAAGTCCATCTATCCTTTTCGTCAAAAAGAAAGTGTTCCGTGTAATTTTCTCCACAAAATGTACAGCTTTATAAAAGGAATGTGGAACCCTTGGATCAAACACTACTTATCTCCCACTTTCCACATAGACTCTTTCACTACCGTGTGTATTTTTTTTATCTGTATGCTGCTTAAGATGGAACCATATGGGTCTGCTAGGTTGATGTAGCATGACCATGGATGGTTAGATTCCTCCTGGGGGGGCATTGTTTGAGTCCCATGGATGGTTTCCTCGATGGGAATGACTAACTACACTACCAAGTTTTTTTCTTCCTGCCCTTTCTCTCCTTATTGCCCTGCTTTTTTTTTCATTTCCTTGGTGTTTTATTTCAGATTGCATAACATTTTGTGAACTTTTATAAAATTGGTGGGTTTATTTCGACTTTGAAGCCAAATGAAACCAAACTTTAAAGCCAACTTATTTGTGGTGTGGTCTCTTAATCTGACAGCATGGAAAACTGCCCCTCAAAAAGTCGTAACCAGTGTCAACAGGGGTTTGAGGTTGATTCAAAGTAGAACATGCTCCACAAGGACCATATTTGTTAATATTTTACCTAAATTTTAAGTCTGGCTATGAGCTCTTTTAACCTTCTCACTTCCAAAATGCTATTAACCAGATAGGTCTGAGAATAAGGGTAAGTTTTGTTCTTACCAAAACATAAGATATTTATTTTGTTCTTTGTGTAGAATACCTATTGAGGATTTAAAGCATTTGTCCTAAATTTTGCCCCACAGAGCTATTGCTAGGTCCTGTTGTAATATTTTTTTTCTATTTTAATGATAGTTGTTTTTCAACAAAGACCTATCTGCATTCTGTTCATAATCCTGTACATGTTAATAATCAAAGGAGTATAACCGTTCAAAGGAGCTATTTTTACAAGACAAAGATCTTGATCATATACCAAAATATAGTGTCTAATCTGCAGACAGAAGTAGAAAAACTTGTTGAGTGTCTAATACATAAGTATATGTTGAGTGTCCTAAGCTCGTTAGATTAATTCAATAATTTTATTACTACTTCTTAAACGAAATTCAGTTTCTAAGGCTATTACCGTGAAATCAAGTTTTTGTGCGGCTAACTTGTGCATGGTTCTTGATATACAATCCCAGCGGGTGGGGCCAGCATGTCCCAGAAAAGGAAGCAAGCATGACATAAGAGAACATGCAGTGGGTATGAATTCATAATTGGTGAATTGTGGAAGTGTCAAGGTGTGAGTCCCATAACACTCATGATCGGTTTAGTAACCCCCAAAGTCTCGTGTGGGTGCAACAGCGTATGTGATGGCGCCACAGGTCAATCCATAAAGTGATGAAGAGTTCACTGGCACTTCAAAAATCTTAAACATCAAATCCTCTTTATTGACATGACCGGATAGGTTTCACAGTGTATAGCAACATTTCGGAACCCAATCTGGTTCCTTCCTCAAGCAAACAGTGTGACGATGGGCACAATGTGTGCCTGAGGAAGGAACCAGATTGGGTTCCGAAACATTGCTATACATTGTGAAAGCTATCCGGTAATGCCAATAAATAGGATTGATTTGACGTTTAGGATTTTTTGAGTGCCAGCGAACTCTTCATTGGTTTAAGGTGTGAGGAAGAGTTCAAGCCTTGGAATTGATAGAAAATGTGTTCATCTGTTAACTTGACAAGAGGGCAAACCATGTATGGGGCAGCAGTGATGTGTGTGGATAAGGGGTCTATACCATAGCGCTGCACAGGGGCCCTCTTCTGTCAGTGTTTGCTACTGTTGTCACTAATATATAGTAGATAAGACTCAGTAAGACTGTAGATGTAAAACCTACCTGGTATTTCAACCTGAAGCAGAGATAAAAGTTTAAGTATGAAGATGGGTATCCAGCAGAGGGCATCTGTGAAAACGATAAAAAAGAAGCGCTTGGCCAATGTCATTTCTTTCTTGATGTGGTTGTGGATTTCAGTTGCCATTATTGCAGTTTGATGGATACTATAAAACATACTACTGTATGAAAACACAATGATGATGAAAGCTGCCAAATTCACACCTGTTGGAACAATACAAAACACAGTACACATCAGTTGCTAGCAATGATTTTTAGCAAATTATCGTTATTTGACTTTAGAATAAAGAATTAATACACTATGAAAGTATATAAATATCATTGAATGATGCTGTATGTAAATGTAAGATGATTTACACACCCCAGGGACCTATTGCAGACATGGAACTGTGCTTGCCAATTATACATACAGTGTATCTCTCTCTCTCTCTCTCTTGCACTAGCTTTTTTTAAAACTCCAGGCACAAATTTTCCTAACCCTTGCAGGAGGGCTACCGCTGCACTGCAGGGGTTAAAGTACTTGTTTTTGTCTAGGTTAAAAAAAAAAAAGTTATACACCTGAACCTCGGAGATAGCCGGCTGTGACAGCGCTCCCTCCAGCCTGTCTCCTCCTCTGCTGCAGCGATGGTATGTCATCTTCACCTCCTATACACCATGTTTAGAATGTGATGACTCACAGGACCATAGATCATTGCACAGAGGAAGAGTGAGGCTGGAAGTACCGGTCTAAGAGCATGCCGGCTCTGAGAATCAGATGAGCATAGCTTTTTTTTTTTTTTTAACCTAGACAAAAGCGAGCCCTTAACCCTTGCGGTGCGGGAGTAGCCCCACTGCAAGGGTTCTAACATTTATGACTGAAGTTCTGCTTCAAGCTATAAAAGTCACTACCATTCACTGATTGCTGGTCTATGAGGATTCCAAGTGTATCTAAACCCAGTTCACAAAACTCAGCATGCTACCTTACCTTACAATGAGTATATGTTTTTACTGCTTTTTATGAAAAGCCTATTAATTTCACTTTAATCCTGCCAGCGAACAAGCCCTTAGTGCACACAAGATATCCACCTGTTAAAGCATTTGGACATTTGCATAAACTCTTTCCAAGCCCACTGCTTGCATCAAGGCTAAGGACTTTTTTTTTTTAGAGAAGTACTGAGGCAGAGAGCTGTGATGTTTTTAGAAAACTATGTGCAGCACCCTGCTGGCCCCTCCCACCAGACATAATATGCCTGCATTAAATTAGAGAAGCACAGAGATCCAGTAATGAAGTCACTGGATATTAAAAAAGGTATGTAATGAAAACAGAAAGGTTTTATTTATGTTGGTGAAGGGGGAGGGAACCAAGGAAGGAAAAAAAAAAGGAAAATAAACTTCAGCTTTGGTGCATTACCGCAATGCATGGCACTTTGTCAAGTGTAGTGCTTTGTTATGCCATTCAAAAAAGGTTCCAGTGGTATCCTTTTGACAGCTAGCCTGCATTCTCCTGATAAACTAGCAACTCTTTTTCTTTATTAATCAGGATGTTTGCATAATATAAAGGTATTTTGGTTATCTTGCTCCCCATATACACCCAGCTAGGCTTTTGGCAGAGGAACACGTCTTGCACACAGTTATAAGATATCCTATACAGAGTCTGATGAATAAACTCTCTTTAAAGCTTCTCAAAAGATTCTGGGTTTACCTTGGCTACAGAAGTGAGACTATTACATCTTTTATAGAAGAAGAGGAAGCAGCCAGCAAGTCCTGCAATGAAACCCAGATCTGCACACAGATTTTGGCACAGGCAGCAAGCTCTAGCTACAAATGTACACAGAGGATCTTCCACAAAGTTCTTTCCAGCATCCTTACAGCAGGAATTTCAAAGTGAATGTATGTTGAATTTCAGCTTATAATGCTAAGGAGTTGATGGGTTGCATAGCAACTATTTATGAAGCTGAGAAAGATGGAGCTCTTGCACATGCAATGTGTTACTAATGTGCTTCTAATTTCCACATATCATCTACCTGTGCATATTTGTGGTACATTGTTCAGTTGCTAGGATTGCTGTGCTATTTCCTGCTCTAATTATAACCCTTTCATACCCATCCATGGTTTCAATTGGTAGGGAAGTCTACTTCCTCCACTTGTTCCTAAGTGTTCCCCATATATTATTCGCTCCCTCAACCCCCTAGAAGCAAAGTAACAATTAAAATTGAATGAGCCTGTGGTGAACCATTCCAACAAACAGAGATATTTTCAGTGAAATTGCTAAGCATGATTTAACTATAGCCATTTACCACTTGAATGCCATTCAAAGTTTCCTTCCCACTGGTGCGGTTGTTTTTCATTGTACTAATGCAATATACAGTATACATTTGCTGCATGATTTAAAACTATCTAACATTGTCTAACACATATACATTGTTCAGCCATAACATTATGACCACTGACAGATGAAGTGAATAACAATGATTATCTTGTTACAATGTCACCTCGAAGTGGGTGGGATATATTAGGCAGCAAGTGAACATTTGGTCCCTGAAGTTGATGTGTTGGAAGTAGAAAACCACTGGGCAAGTGTAAGGATTTGAGTGACTTTGACAAGGACCAAATTGTGATTTCTAGATGACTGTGTCAGAGCAACTCCAAAACGGCAGCTGTTTTGTCAAGACCTACCAAAAGTAGTTCAAGGAAGGAAAACCAGAGAACTGGCGAAAGGTTCATGGGCGGCCAAGGCTCATTTATGCACAAGGGGAGGTCCCAACTTGCAGGACTTAAGTTGGCCATACACCTGCAGATTTTCTATGGTCAAATGGAAAAAGTGCAACAGATTCCTCCATCTACGCTAAACTGTGTGGATAGAGGAATCTCCCACTGGGCCAAGCTTCAGTATTTTGCTAGTCTGCCCCGCTGGCTCTAAAAAGCTTTAAAGGTAAATATAAGCTATCCATGCACCAAGCATAAGCTTTTCTAACTAATAGGTGTTACTCACCAAGAAATATAATCACAGAGTATATCTGTGCTGCAGTGCTCTCTGGTTGCTCTGAATGCAGTGGGAAGCAGACCCCATTTGTGCCATAGTAATTGTTAAAAATATGTTCATTGCTGAGAGGTATGTATGCAATAATGAACCCAACAATCCAAATGAGTATCAGAGTTGTGATCGTCCGACATTTTCCAGGCTTGAGACATCTGAACGGATACACTATACAGATGTATTTCTCCAAAGTCAAATAGGTAAGAAGTAAGACTGACACCTCTGTAGACAAAATGGCTAATGATCCAACCAATCGGCACTGAGTGCTGTCCATCCAGGCCTGAGCATTCTTGTTGTATTCACCTCTGTATTTCAGGTCAAAATATCCAATGACAAATAAATATATTCCCATTAGGCAATCTGCACCTGATAGACATAAAGCAAGTTAAATTACAGTTGGGCTAGAGATAGATCCATATTAACATATATTTGGCAAGTAGAATATTTGGAATTTGATCAGTTTAACATACTTTATAGCTTGGTTTAGATATGAGTTTTAGCTAAGCTTTCTAAAAATTATTGTGGCTGAATTTATCTAAGATGTGTTTTTCCCCTGAAGGGATTTGCACTCAACACACATTCCTGTTTTCTTCCATTTTCCTGCAAGTAATTCCAATAAAAGATACGGCTCTCAGCCTCCTAGCCTTATTTAGCTGAACATGATTGACAAGAGATAAACATAGGTTGCACATGCAATCGACTGCCTGAATAAGAAGGTGTTTGATGGGAATGTGTTTTACACTGCTAATCATAATATCCATTTAGTTTTCTAAAAGTAACAAGAATCATATTGGTTGCTGTGGGAAACCCTTACATTCTACTTTCACATACTTCTGTGCCTTCATACATATTTCTTGTTTCCTTATTGGAACATGTACTTTAGGCTGACTGTCCATTTAAGTGCCATTAAAAGTGTCCTAATAAGTGGCAAGTGTTTGCTGCAGGGCATGTAATTATCAAAGGTGTACAGTATTGATAGTTTGATAATCATAATGAATATACAAAGATTTACCAGCTACATGAACATGTAAGAAGTGAGAGGAGTGGCCTGACCACACCATTACTGTAAGAGGTAACTTTGAAGTCCTACATCGAATAGCACCTAAGCCAATTTTCCAGTCCCGGAGGCCACAGTATTGCAGGGATGACACAAGCAGGGCTCCATTTGTCCCACTGGTTCTCACATACACTTGTGCTTCCCTAGACAGATGTACAATTTCACTTTACTCTTGAGGCCTCAGTTACACGTGGTTCCAGGCTCTGATGAAGGGGGGCGTGCCCCGAAAACACGTTAGCCAGATGACCTTTTTGTTTCACATATGTGAGTTGTACGTGTGCCTGTCTCTGTGTAGCAAGCCCTCCTCAGTCTAAGGATTTCTTTCTACCTCTTTGGTTGGACACATTGCAGTGAGAACTGCAGAGAAGATTTGCATAAAAGAGAGACACAAGGGTGTTTTTGTCTAATGATGAGCGCTTGACAGCTCTATTTCATTGTGTGTACCTGTCTATTTTGGTTTCATATCATTACTATTATAACATATTTCATGAGAAAGAAGCACTTCTGGTCTTTCTGTTTTTCTTAATGCTATCAGAGGTTAGTCTCTTGTGTGGGCTGCCTTTCCTCTATATTGACTACATGTGCGGATAGCACAAAGAAAAAGGTGGACTGTGGAGCGCAGGAAGAGAACTGTGTTATGGAAAAACCCATGGTTCCAGGTTGAGAGGGTTACCACCACTCCAGAGGCACATAGGTCACAGTTGCTCTACGTTACAGGAGGTGCGTCCAGGGAAAACTACCGACCACCGCCACAGATCCACCCTCTTCTTCCGAACCTCCACCACCTCTGCCCAGTACCAGGTGCTTTAACATACCCTTTCCTCCCCAGGTTTTAGCTGTGCATAACCTATTACACTGCTTTGTTAGTCCCGCATAGTGTAGGTTTTCCTTGCATTTAACCTGCTGCCTGCAGCCCAACAGCAACTTCACTTACTTTACATGCAGAGGACTTTACCAGACATCACATGGAGGCTTTTTCTTAAGTTGATTGCTTTACTAACACAATAACTGTCCATACATTAGCTGTTAAAATATTTATTTTAAAGGATCAATAGTAAACAAGTCCACAAGCTGGTTACACAATCCTATAGCAAAGTCAGTAATTTTCACCTTCGTAGTCCCAATAGTAAGGGTTAGGAGTGTTGTTACAGTGCTCTTAGTGGCAGATACGTACGTACTCTTACTTTCCCCAATTCCAAATCCCAGGCCTTGTGGACCTGACTGGCCTCCCCCAAGAAGGGAGAACATCTGAATCATGTGCTCTTACACAATGTCTGCCAGGAAACCACTGCACCTTCCAGAGCTAAACTCTTTATAGGCAAAGTGCGCTAGCCAACAATGGAACTGCACTATTACAGAAAAAAGATACATGCCTCTAGCACAGTAACACCCTGTTACAAAACAATACTTTATATCATCGAGGAAAAAACTATTATATGTAGAGCTATGGACTTTTTCTACAAGTGTGTAAAACCAACTCTTAAGTTTCATACTGACTATATGGAGAAAGAACAAACTACACCACTTAGTCTGGATTCACAGTTATACACTCCTTTGTGCACACATTACCATATGGTATAAGTGTGTTGAGGTACTTTGATGTTTATTTTGAATGGCACCTCAATGCATATATAAATGAACACACTTGCCCTTCAGCGCACCACACAGGTCTGAATGCGATGTACGCGGCGTTGGATAAAAACAGTGCAAGTACATTTTTTGTGTGTTGAGGCATGATAAGGGCTGCCTTAAAGCAAAGCATGCCTACGTGCAGGAAATGCAATAATAGGTATGAAGATACCTGAGTTTAATCACCAGTTACTGCATTTTGCACATCGCTTTGTTACCACACTAATTAGTAAATAAGCTTATTTGTTTAGTCCTAACGGTTGTCGATGAAGCAAAAGTCATAGTAAGTGTTACTTTATTACTTACAACAAAGGGAAATGATGCACATTGCATGTAGCTTATTCTCAGACCTAATATACGGTCGTGTACAGATCACAAAGATGTTCCCAAAGCAGGTTGCCAGTGAAACCACCCACACAAACACTCGCTGAACAATACTTGCAAGCAAGTTCTCCAAGGATGAAATGCCATCTGTATTTGGCTTGCAGTTGCGCACATGGGGTGAAAATCCACAGTACTGGAACTTTTTAAAGTATCTGTAAATATAAAATATGAACGAAAAGCAGGTACATTATAGAGCCTGATCACTGTGGGGTCACATAGGAAAATATGGTAAAAAACACGTGTCTGTGTTATTAATCTCTCAAATTTCACCTTTTTTCCTTAAATATGAGGATTAGGAATTGAAAGTGATAAATTGATGTTGAATTCGGGAAAATTACCCCATCTAATCTGGCCCTCTTACACCCCCCCGCGCTATACTTACCTTTCCATTCGTAGCGCAGCTACGAATGGAAGCACAGCCGTGTAGCACAGCCCCGTGCTATGGATTTTGAATTTCGCTTGCAAATGGTGAGTATTCATTGGTCAGCGTAGTCATCTAAACCGCGCTGACCACGGAGAAGTGGTTCTGACCGTGCTGACCAATTAGTGCTCGCCCTTTGCAAGCTAAATTTAAAATTCATAGCACAGGGCTGTGCTACATGGCAGTACGGATAGTACACCGAATGGTAATTATAGGGTGGCAGGGGGGGCACCAGATTTAAACGGGAAATTCAATTTTCCCAAATTCGCTTGAGAAAGTGAACTCACCCTTTGACTATGTTTTGTTTTTGCAATTCCTTCAACACAGGGCTGCTCCTACCATACGCCTAGATAGGAACAGCACTGACACCCTCACTTGACACCACATAGCTGCAGAGAATGAGGTGCTCATCTTGCCTCTTTACTTCCTGATGCAAATGTAAAAAGCACCCCATGATCCAGTTATGTAGTAATTAGAAATTAATTATATGGCTTTTTAAATACTGCTAGTATAAGTACCTGAAATATGTTGTCTTTGTTGTCTTTATTTTAGCTTTATATTAGCTTCCCATAATCTCCTACCAAGTTCAAACTGAGAGAGGGAAACTAGCTGTGTAAAGATGGCAATGCACTGGTCGATTTTTGTCACATGAAACGTTTCCTATAATGTGATCAGAGACCTGGCAAATGTTGTTTGAAATTTCATTGATTTTAAAATCTGATTTTAGAATGAATGGAGTTTCCAAAACAAAAACCACATTCACTGTTAGAATTTTGTTTGCTCAAGATAAATTATTGATAAATTATTGATTGTGCTCCTTCAATTGTTTTTTGTCAAGTTACGATCATTGATTTGACCCCATTATTTACTGTGTATTATCTACTGTATGTGAGATTGTAGTCCATCACGGGAGTGAGTCTGAAGTAGTGCAACACACACCACACAGGGACCATGGGGAACAAAAGTAGCCACCCTCCAATAGGAAGGACGGTGCCAGCATGAATTAGCTAGCTTTGGAGCTTCCACTCATGACTGTAGGGATGACCTAATCCACGTATTGCTCCGTCACTATCTAATTAACAAAAGGTGGCGAGGTGACTTGAGAACTAGAACTTAAAGGAGAACTATGAGGTGAGTGCTTTTCACTCACCTCATAGTTCTAGCCGACCTGTGGTAATGAGACTGTCACAGGTCGGCTCAGAAGATCGGGAGGTGAGCGAACACATACCAGCGTTCGCTCACCTCTCAATCCTGTCAGGGCTCTCTGCTGTGACAGGGGAGGGGCTGGATTCCCCGCTCCAATCCGCCAGCGCTGACTGGCGGAACGGACGGGGCGGGTACAGCTGGCTCTGCCTCTAGATAGGCAGAGCCAGCTGTCAGTCACGCAGCTGGGCGGATCCCAGCACAATTGTCGGGATCCGCTTCGCCTGCGGTGTCTCAGTATACCGCAAGCTACAGCTCGCGGTATACTGAGCCTAGGGTGACGGGAGGACGCTAGTTTGTGTCCTCCCGTTACCCTAAGGAGAACTGTGGGGAAAAGACTTAACCCCATAGTTCTCGTTTAATCAGTTATTTTGTTTCTACAGTCACTCACCAGATCAGAGGGCAGTACCAATACAACTATTTCAGAAACAAACTTTAGGGTGGAGATTAAAACTAATCTGATGAACTTGAACTGATGGTGGACACAGGTGCAACAGTAAAGTAGGGTATACAGTTAACACAATGAAGATGTCAAACTTATTGATCTTTGCCTGATGTTATTTTAAATGTAATCAAATTTGGAAATATACCGTAGAAGCACAGATAGGGCTACTTGTGTCACTGATTGAAACGTGCTGTGCTAGTCAACAGCTTTAACATTTGTATCTGTTTACTTATTTTATTTCCTGACAACCTTTACATGTGTTGTGTACTTTATAACATTTGCAAAGATGTATTTCATCTTAGAAAAGATTGCATACATGTGAGTAAGATTTCTGAGTGGCATGAACATTCTTCTTTGAATATTTGGGATCTCAACTCCCTCAAGGCTCCTATAGGAAATAAATAAAGAAAAATCTATTAGTAACTTTAGCCATGTACTTTGCCTCTAAATGTATTACTGATGTCTCACTGTTCTTTCCAACTTCTATTGCTTCTGTTAAGAAAGTGTGCATAGAGGCTACCATTGTGCAGTTGTAGTCTGGAGATTAGAAATCTTACTTTTCTACTACAGTTCAAGAAACTATATATGTTATTATATCAATTTATGCACATGCATCTAATGTATTTAACATCTGCACAATTAACAATTACCATACCAGATCAGCTTTCTGTAGTTCCGTACAGAGGATTGGTACATACTAGTGACATGTACCGATCCTCTGCCGCTCGTCCACGCACAGGGGGGCTGCAACTTCTCTGGATCCCCCTGCTCTCCCGGGCAGACGCAGCGGTGGGATACCACGAGCCGCGGGGGGGCGGAGCCGCTGTGACAGAACAGACAAGCAGTGAGGGGAGAGAGAGGCGCCGGCTGTCAGATCCTGGCCGAGCGTCTCTCTCTCTCTCCTCACTGCTCTGCATTAGTTAGTGACAGCGGCTCCGCCCTCCCCCGTCGCCGGTTCGACTGGTAGATCGCGATCGACCTTGTGGGCACCCCTGCTCTAGAATATAGTTGATCCTTCCAATAGTCAAAGTTTTCAGTATTTTTCACCAGCACCAGCTGGGGTAATTATCATTCAAGTGATACAAAGTTAATCATGTTGGGGACTTTTGGATGAAGCAACTTTGTTCTAGTGAAAACACAGGACCTGATTTTCTAAAATATGTAAGGTGAAGTGAATCTGTGTTTACTTTCAAGTCAAACTGCAGGCAAAAAGATAAATACACATAAATGGGAGCTGTAATTCTGTCCATGCAGTCCTGAGAATAGTACAGCCCCACCAGTTAACAAGACTAGGCTGGTAACTTGACTTCTCTGCTGAACTCCATGGGTCTTTAGTGTTTGCTAGCCCAAAGGCTTGTCAAAGATCCAACCCTGTCCCTAGCCACATCCCACCATCTCAGGGACAGCTCCAAATTGACAATTTTTTGCCTTCCCAAGGCAACGATCCGTGGTAAACACAATGAATACCAAAAGGGGAAGCACAATGATACCAGGTGGGTGCCACATTTTGTAACCATTCCCCTATTCTACAGACTCCTAAAAAATCTCCTACTTGCCAAACTACTATGATAATACTAATAAACTGACCCATTTGACATGCAAAAAATGAGGGAGGCTGGCTTGGACAACTTGTTCCTCTCATCCATGCAAGTAATTTTCTAGCAATCACCACAATTCCTACCCCTTCAGCGCCTCCAAACCATTTGACTGTCAACCTTCAATCAGGTAAGACCTTTTTCACCTACATTTTAACTCTTTCTTGGGACTATTTATACCCCCAGTCATTTAGCCCCTTTGTTAATTGTATTGCTCCGGCTCTTTTTTTAGTTTTCACGATCTAAAAAATATTCTGATCTGGACCCTGGAGGCTTTGTAGAGCTTTGGGTGAGATGTAGCTAAATCCATATCTTACCTGTTAGCCAGACCTCTATAATTAATCTCTGCTATTCCCAGGCCTTTTATATTTAGTCGGACTGAGGCTCAAAGTAGGTTCTTTCTCTCACTCTCTCTGCTGTAAATGGCTGCTGCTGGGGGAGATGACTTACTGCTGATAGAACACTAAAAAGGTACATGCTTTGCTTGTTTGTTTGTGGAACCCATTAAAGGGCACCCTGTCAATCAGAAACTGACATAAGTTAGTGGCTCAGATGAGCAGATGTTATGTTTGTGCATTGGATTTTCTTCCTTCCTGCATTGAACTCTGTTTGTTTCCTGCCTGGCTGAATAAATGTGCAGCACAAACCCACTTGGACTGTTCCTGGTTATCCCTGTTTTGTGCATCTGCTAACTCTACTCTCTCCTGTTATCCGTATGTTCATTGTCAGCACATGTGCAAACTGCACATCTGACTGGCTGACTTTGCTGGTCCTCCCTCTTCCTGTCTCAGTGTTGCTGAAAAGAGGATTGCAAGAGGTTGATGCCAAGGCAAATTTAACTTCAAACACTAGCTGTGTTTTAAAGTACGCGTAATTCTTTATAATGAATACAGAACTGCTTTGCCATGTCACCTCCTATATATTTGCCTAACACCCAATCATCTGCATCTGGATGTTTGATGTGAGTCCTCCCTTGTTATGGCAAACCTAGGGTGGCTTTCACTACTGCATGGCACTACAGGCCTAATGTAGGAGATGGTACATTGGAGGCCAGGTTACGAAGTAGCAGAATGGACACTTTGCATTTAAAGCCAGGGCTGTGCAGTAAGGCCCCTTTCACATCTGCACACGGAATCCCTGCTGATTAGAATGGATGTTACCATAGTGACATCCATGTCTGTCCAGTTTTTTCATTCATTTTAAACTGAAATTACCAGACCCTTGTTGGTCTACGGGGAGTCGGATGGTAATTGACATGTGTCTGTTTACATCAGATTACCCCCGATCCACCATGTTAAAGGAGAACTATGAGGTGAGTGCTTTTCACTCACCTCATAATTCTAGCCGACCTGTGACAATGAGACTGTCCCAGGTCGGCTCAGTAGATCGGGAGGTGAGAGAACACATAGCGGCGTTCGCTCAACTCTCGATCCTGTCACGGCTCTCTGCCGTGACGGGGGAGGAGCTGGATTCCCCCCCTCCGATCCGCCAGCGCTGACTGGCGGAACGGGCGGAAGGGGGCGGGTACAGCTGGCTCTGCCTCTAGGTAGGCAGAGCCAGCTGTCAGTCACGCAGCTGGGCGGATCCAGACATAATTGTCGGGATCCGCTTCAGCTGCATCGTCTCCGTATACCGCGAGCAGTATCTCGCGGTATACTGAGCTTAGGGTGATGGGAGGACGCTAGTTTGTGTCCTCCCGTTACCCTAAGGAGAACTATAGGGAAAAGCCTTAACCCCATAGTTCTCCCTTAAGGTTCTCCAAAATGGAACTCTGTTCTGTTTGGTTTTCCAGACCTGGCCGGAGATAGGGGTAATCAGTTGTAAATGGATGTATGTCCGTTTAATTCAGCTGCCCATAAACTAACATTGGGCTTCCAATCAGATCCGCCTGAAAAACTGACAGTCGGACCTCATCAGAATGACCATGTAAAAGGGACCTTAGTAGTCATCATCATCATTATCATCAGTTTATTTCCAGGCACTGTTTGAGCAAACAAAAAAGAAATTATAAATTTGTCACTTCACCTTATTTCTTTTTTACTTACAAGGACTTCAGTGAAAGAACATAATCAAACTGGTCTGCTTGTATCTTCTGCAAGGGGTTATAGGAAATATTCCTGTACATATTAAGCAAAATGAAAAATTGCAGTGAAATGAATACACAGTAATGTAGTTTATAACTGAGACAAAATACTACATGAATTATTCTGTTGTATTATTTTAAATGTGACTGATAAAATGGTGATTACTTAAGTAACTTACAATTGTGATAAGTCTTTCAAGTCCTTTAGTAATGATGGCTCAAATGATTCAATTCCGTTATTAGCCAAGTCACTGTAAAATTAAATATTATCTCATTATCATTGAAGACACTGCATCTGACATACTATATATTTATCTTTATATAGTATTAGAAAACCTACCAGATTCTTCCTTTCGTTAACTTATGAGAAAAATATCAGCTAGAAAAGGATTGGTTAGCATAATAACACAGAAACTTATTTCTTTTTATGCATGTATTACATTTATGAATAAAAGCTTAGGGTATTTCCACACAATACATGTACATACAAAATATACAGAAATACAAATATTTATAGAACTAGTATTTATAGCCAATCAGCCACTGTTAAAAACATTCAAAAGACCCGTCCAGCCACATTTATTTTGGAGGCCCTATAATGTAGATTTACTACGGTTTGCATGTAAATGAGATACTGGTAGGTATTTTTTTTTACTAATTTGAAGAACAGCCACAGAAATGTCAAATGCAACGTAACTGTTTCTATGTCCATATCAAGAGGAAGTATAGGCATAATCTTCGGCCCTATTGTGTCTCAGCAATGGTATTTCGTAACCTTGCAAGAGTAACGTTATGTCTAGACTAGAATCAAATTCAATACTTGGCCATCGTAAATACTGATGTCTCAGTAGGGAGTAATGAAGTAGGAAAATCAATCAGATGTCCTCTCAAAGTGAGAGTAACAAAGCAGGAAAGCGTATTACATCCAGCAATCATCAAATGTGTGATATGTCACAGGAGATCTTGATGTCATTCAGATATATATTTTTGTTTTTCAGAATATACACTGAGTGGCCAGATTATTATGACCACCCCATCAGTACTTCGTTGGGCCACGAGATGACTCCACGAGATGACTTCGTTGGGCCGCCTCGTGACTCCACGAGATGTTGAAAGGTGATGCGAGGAATCTGACACTGCACTGTTGCCCTTCTGTTGTCTTGTACCAGTCTTGCCACTCTCCATTCTGCTCTAACATTGACTAGTCGCTGACGTCCACAATTCGCACGTTCAGACCCAGATTTTCAGCTTACAGTCCCCGTCTTTAAACACTTTAACAACAGCTGCTCTTGAACATTGAACGAATTCTGCTGTTTTGCTAATACTCGCTCCATGGCTCCGAGCGCCAACAATTATTCCACGTTCAAAGGCTGTTAAATCACGTTGTTTACCCATATCTTCAGAAAAAAATCACTTCTACTGTCGTGGTAAACAACCTGCTTCCCTATTTATAATGGTCTGGCCCTCTAGCAACTTCAGCGCGAAATTATAGCTAACTTGCCTACAAACGTCAGGTGGTTAAAGAAAAGACGCTTGTGCAATTCCTCTTTGTGAACTGCAAGGGTGCTAAACAAATTCCAGCACATAACAATCATAGGGTTGTCCCAACACGTAAGGCATCACAGGAAGACCCTGGCTGGGGGAAGGACATCAAATGTTTTGTTGCCTTGTTTGTTGACTTTCTCAAGTAGACAGAGGCGGCTCTAGACTTTGTGAGGCCTTAGGCGAAACTCAAACGTGAGGCCCCCACTTACACCCATAATGAAAGAAAATGCAAACAATAATTAAAAATGAACTGTATACATTGCATATTGTAAGACTAGCGTTTAATCCCAGCAGCCAGGAATTTACAGCTTCTAGAGTTAGAATTTTATTTCTGTCTCATATCTAATTCTACAAACAACTATATGCAAAACCCTAACCCTAAGGAAGTAACATGCAGAGGTCAGATGTAAGGAACGCACAGGGTGCAGAGGCCTGATTGGTAACCAGGGGACGCTGATCTGTCAGTACCATGAGAACTCAGCAGAGCCGGCACGCCGCCGGCTCCGACAAGCTCTCATTGTAATGACAGCTGGTCGCGGCCAATAGAAAACAGTTGGGTGGAGCTATCTGTCACTGCTAGCTCCGCCCAATCGTTTTCTATTTTTTAAAAACAATTTTTCTATTCTGCTCGGTCCCACAGAGGTACCGAGCAGAATAGCCGAGCAGAATGCCGCTCTGCGGCATTCGGCTATTCACTCACTGGTCTTCGGCATATGAGAATCGGCCGAACAGCAGCGAGTAGTCTGCCGGAGGTTCGAGGTCAAACTCCGTGTGGGCTGAACATGCTGAGCATGTTTGGCCGACCCGAAGCCAGCCGCAGCAAGCCGATGTACGGCTGATTTTATTCGGTGTACAAGCCTGAAGTGAATAGCCGAACAGGTCAGTTCGGCTATTCAGGTCGGTTACTCACTCGGCTGCCTATGACACCTTTGTGAATAGCCCCCATATAAAAAGTTTTTAGCAGCAGGTGTGAACAAAGACAACAGTATTTGAAAAAAAGAATGATTGTTTTTGTTTTTCTTCCAGCATGCATTTTTCTATTTTACAAAGAGGGGTGCTTTTAAAATAGAAAAATGCATGCTTTAAATAAAAAAAAATTAAAAAATGATCAAATTGCCAGAGGGGGGGAAATACTTTCTATAAACGCTGTAAATTGTACCCAGATGTCTGTTTAGAAGCGGCCGTGTCACCGTGTCCTGGCCTTATATCACGTACATGATCCGTCATCATCCCTGTCGGCTCACTTTGTTTTGGGGTGGGAGGGGGCGCGGTGGTGCATTGAACTCAATGGCACCACAGCCACGCCCCCCCCGGCTGCAGTGCGATCGCGGTACCCGAATGCATGACACTTTAGTGCCTCCGTTAAGGTCCAGTGCAATCTGCACAAAATAGTGCATGCAGCATTATTGCAGATTGCACAGGACCGGAATGCACTAATGTGTCACATGTTTCGGTGCCAGAGATCGCACTGTGGGCGGGGCTACAGTGCCATTGAGTTCAATGCACCACCGCGCTCCAAAACAAAGTGAGCCGGGCCAGGTTGCATTCCAGTGCATCCCAGAGGCCGAACGCACTCCTTAGGCTGGGACTGGGCCCTTAGGGCTTGTTCACACCAATTACAGTGCGTTCAAGAGCAGTAGCTGCTGGAACGCACCGCAATCACGCACAAAACTTACCCATGCGTTCTGGGGTGGGAGGGGGTGTGTCGGTGGATTGAAGTCAATGGCACCGCAGCCACGCCCCCTGGCTGCAGTGCGATCACGGCACCCGAATGCATGACACATTAGTGTCTGCGTTCCGATCCAGTGCAATCTGCACAAAATAGTGCTTGCAGCATTTTTGCCGATCGCACTGGACGGGAACGCATGCACTAATGTGTCACACGTTTGAGTGCCAGAGATCACACTGCGGGCGGGGGGCGTGGCTGCGGTGCCATTGAGTTCAATGCACCCCCTCCCGTCCCAAAACAAAGTTTTGTTTTGGGGCGGGAGGGGGGTGGCACACCTTATGGTGGGACTGGGCCCTTGGGGCTTGTTCACACCAATTACGGTGCTTTCCAGAGCGGTAGCTGCTGGAGCGCACCACAATCACTCACAAAACGTCCCCCTGTGTTCCGGTGTGGGAGGAGGCGTAGTGGTTCATTGAAGTCAATGGCACTGCAGCCACGTCTCCCCTCCCGTAGTGTGATCGGACGCATGGCAAAACATTGCCAGCATTCTGTTCAACTGCAAACGCAAAAAATGCTGCATGCTCTATTTTTTGCTTTTGCAGTGGAACGGAACGCAGGCAATGTTTTGCCATGCGTCTGATCGCACTGCACCCGGGGGAGGGGGGGGGCGTGGAAGCAGTGCTATTGAATAAGTGCCAGAGAACGCACGGGGAAGTTTTGTAAGCGATTGCGGTGCGTTCCAGCAGCTACCGCTCTGGAACGCATTGCAATTTGTGTGAACAAGCCCTTAGACACTGTGAATTTCTTCTTTTTTTTTTGCTACCCTGTATTTTTTATATAATGTACAAAGTGCAAAAAGAAAAAAAAAAAACCTTCAGAAAAAAAAGAAGGGTGCTTCACTGACCTGGACTCCATGCAGGCACTGCTCCTGATCAAGGGGTCAGCTCCCGGTTTCCCACCGCCTGTATCTGCCTCATCCTTGCCCTCCTACGATGTCACCACTGGCTGCTGCAGGAACGGAAGCCTCTGCATCCTCACGACACGCCGGGCGGGCTCTCTCCTCTGCAGGGAAGGATGAAGTGAAGTGGCGGAAGTAGTTCCGTCAGTACCAGAGGGAGAAGCCGCGTTTGAAGTCCCGCCGCGCAGCTTCTCCCTCTCTCTTCAATGACAGATCCAGGAAGGGGGAGGGGGGTTGCGTTGCGGAGGCTGCGGGGGAATTGCCGGCGCACATTCTCCCCGTGAGGAAATGGCTGCTCTTTCCCGGTCCAGGGGTTGACTGACCAGAGGCAGGTTAGTTGAAGCTTTAGAGGCGAGCTAGGCGGCCGCGAGGCCCTCGTGAGCGCAAGGCCTTAGGCGACCGCCTAACTCGCCTAATTAGAGAGCCGCCTCTGCAAGTAGAGAAGAGGTGAGTTGGATCAATGATTTTAAATGTGTCCAAGGCAAATGGATTACTGGGTGCTCAAACATAAACGTCACCATGTTGGCCCAGTAAGTTAAGTGTGGCTATGGTTTCTACTCACAGTGGGACATGAACCAATGCATATAACAAAACCAGTGCTGTAAAAAAAATGACAAATACTAAATTAAGAATTTATAGGTTGAACTCCATGAACTTGTGTCTTTTTCCAACCTGACTAACTATGTAACTATGTAACAGGTTTTATCACTCAAATACCAACAAAATATATGAAACATTTCTTGCTGGTGTACATATATGATACATATGTGATCCATCTATCATTTTATTGAGAATATTAAATTTTACAAACACTAATGAGCAGTTTTCCCTTGAGCTTTGCCAACAACGTCCCATGCAGTCATCTTAGTTACCCATGGGGATGTGAGATGTTATGTTTGGCTTTTAGATACAACTTTTTTTAATGCTACAGGGACTATATACTCTAAATATAGAATTTTACATTCTGACCATGATAATAAATGTTTCTGAAAGATTTCAAGATCTCTTATGATGTAGCACAAACATCATTGCTTGATGTATTATGACATTCTAGCTTTATTACTCTCCAGTAGAGAGGACATCTTATTGATTTTTCTGCTTTATTACTCTCCTATTGAGAGGACATTTACAGTCCTTTTCTCTTGCTGTATCTGCCGATTGAGACTCGAGAGGGCATTAATGTTGATGCTAGATCAGCTTGAAAGGACACTCTCAGTTCTCTTGCTGGATTATTGTTGTGCATGATACTCATTGTGTGTGATGTTATAAAATAGCCAATTATATGACATTTTCTGAGCTACATAAACTGCCCATGCTGAAAACAAAATGCACATAAAGAAATACTTGAATATATGTGCTAAATCCCCAGCTGCTACACTGAAATGTGCCAAGCCCCATTGATACAAATGTGTAACATATAATAATAAATGTAGTGCTTTTCTAAGTGATATCAAATACAGATGCCAAATCATGAACAATGATAAACAAGTATTATTGTTAGTTTACACCAGAAACTGCATCACAGCTGCGTGCGTCTGCGCAGTTGCATTGTGATCCGTTTTGATGCGTTTTGACATTGTTTCTGATGCGTTCAGATTTGTTTTTTCCCCCTGGATGTCCCTGGATGATGCCGCAATCAATTCTGTTTTTTTGTATGCGTGCCGCTGCGTTTTGATGCATTTGCATGTGTTTTGATGCAGTTAGATGCAGCTAAAATAGGACAAGCAGTACTTTTTCTGACTGCATCTGAACGGACTGCAATGGTGTGAATACAGCATGAGTAAGCCCATAGGAAAGCATTGTGATGTGTTTTGGCTGCGGCAGTCAAACTGAACGGACTGCATCACAACTGCATATGGTGTGAACTAGCCCTGATGTACAAACTTTCAAAGCAAAATAAATATTGTAAATAAATATATAAAGAAATACATTCAGATGTCCTTCTTTATCACAAATTAAAATATCTCTGGTGCAGAATTTGTAACAGGCCTTGCAGTAATACAATCAGCAAAACTTTCTGTGTGAAAATTAAATAGTCTTTCTTATATTTAGTGAATATTTAATGATTACACAATGATCACATTACACCATTTAAGTAAGAATACGCCCTCTACCTAAAAGAGAAGTGTCATTTAACACACACATTTAACTTTCTGTTTATGGAAAGGTAAATAGCACTTTCTCAGACATCTGTGGCAATAGTTCTCTAGTAGAATCTGCTCCACCTCTAATTGCACCCTCCTAGGATCCAAATCTCTGACTTTATTACCTATCTGTTTAGGACAAATATTACTTTGGCAGTGCAGCTTCAGAAGAATCTATTCCACCTTTTAACTGCACTCTGCCAAGATCCGATTCTCAGTAAAAATCAGAGAGAGCAGAGACCGCAATAGTATAAAATAATGTATTGATTAAAGATAAAATCAAACAAAAATCATTCTTATAAACTGTGTCCAACATGGTTTGCCTATCCAGACTTATTTTTTTAAAGGAGTGTGCTGTATCTTGGGGAGATGTACAGGATGTACAGGTTATGTGTATATGGAGGTGCCCCAAGCTTTCATTCAATTTTATTTAATTAGTAATTTATTTTGAAGTCACAGTATCTCTACCAAGTTTTTCTATAATATTTTGATATTTTATTTAAGTGTCAGTCTGAACCTGAGCTCCTCCCAACCCCAAAGGAGGCCCTCCTGAACATGAAAGGAAGCTCCTTCAATGCTACCCAATCAGGTGGTGGTTGGGTATTCCCTGCCTGCAGCTTGACATAAGTAAAGGAGTGGGAATGCAGTGACGTCAGGCCCGGTGCTACCGCAAGGCAAGCTTCGCCGCTGATCTCCCGTACCGAAGGTAAGTGGGGAAAAAAAAAACATAGCGCAAACATCGGGGCATTTTGACAAGTACTTGTCAAAATGCCCTGATTTTACAGGGGGGAGGCGCAAAAATGCACCTTGCCTGTGTAGGCAAGGATCCTAGCACCGGCCCTGAGTGACGTCATTAACCTTATTGGCCATGTGGCCATATTAGGTAAATTACGCCCATGGCACTTCCTTGCTTGGAGGAGCTCAGGTTTCGGCTGGGTTCAGTCTGAGCCTGAGCTCATCTCTATTCAACAGGTATTCTGTCACAGGCAAATAAATACCTAACTCATATTTATGCTATTCTCATTATGTTATAATGACATAATGTAAACATTTTTCAAGTTCTAATGTAATACTGAAATAACATTTCTGTATTGTTACTTAGAGGTGTGATCATTTTTAATACAATTGAACTATTCAAAAAGACTGAAGGCTGCACTGAACATCTGGCAATTTTATCTGAAACTCTGATGTGTCAGAAAGCATCTTTGGACCAGTGGGAGCTCCTGTGAGTAGGCCTAAGTTAATAAAACAGGTGAGAAAAGTTAAAGAAGCAAATATATTCCTCAATAGCTACAAACAATATAAATCCAATTAATCTGAACCAAATTCCTTTTTTTAAATGAAGATATTACTATTATTGTAAAAGTTGTGGTAACATTCTCACTGTACTATACATAGCATGTACAGAAAGCAGAGTCATGGGTGGGACTAAACTATGAAAACTATAAAAACTGCACAGAAAAGCACAGAAAAGGCAAGTATTTTAAATGCTTACTTGCAGTGTTTTCCTTTCCATAGATTATTGTTTATGCAGTTACAATGTGCCTTTGAACTTGCCAGAAAATTTGACTACTTTGGGAAGTGTCAAGCATACAACTTTTCTTCTCTTCTGAGAGTGTCTAATTATTGTCTGTGCTGTCCTTTCTCAGAAGAATGCTATAGAGTATCGCTCGAGTAACAGCTTTCAGTCTGCCAGGGGAATCTGACATCACATCCAAAATGGTGGTGCCCAGTAACAGTCTCAGGGCTTTTTGATGTATACACAGGGGAGGCTTTTACAGGTGAATAAAATGCCTAAAATATATTAAATGCACATATAATACATGTGAAGATTTTTGTTAATATAAATGTTCTGGCAACAGGGTCTCTTTAAATGTCTAGGTAGCAGATGGTTAAATGAGATCTATGAGGTGAGTGCTTTCCACTCATCCTCATAGTTAGAGAAGCTGTCAAGGGTCAGCTCTATCGATCGGGAAGTGAGCAGAAACATGTACCGATCTACTCACTTCCAGATTGTCTCCCTGCAGTGAGCGGTGGCTATTAGTCACCGCTCCCCGCAAAGATTCCCCGCTCCCCTCTCCAATCCTCCAGCGCTGAGTGGAGGAAAGAACGGGGGAGGGGCGGGCACAGCTGGCTCTGCCTCTAGATAGGCAGAGCCAGCTGTCACTTACGCAGCTGGGTCTTGACAGTAATGTCAGTAATGTCAGGATCCGTCCCGGCTGCGGCGCTCACAGTATATTGTGGGCAATAGCCCGCGAGATACTGAACTTTGGGTCACGGGAGGAGGTTAGTATATGTCCTCCTGTGACCCTAAAGAGAACTATGGGGAACAACACTTACCCCATAGTTCTCTTTGAAGTATTAGGGAATGCTTTACAAAATAATCTTGAATTGCCATATCATATAAACATTGCAATGTAAAATAGTGTACTTACAGCTCATCCAGCCTAAAGAGGTATGCAAAGGTGTTGTCACTTATTGTGCTGATTCTGTTCTTCCGTAGAACCCTGCAAAACAAATGTTATGCAGTCAGGAGCTCTGGACATCAGTGGAGATTTTAATTTAATATGGTGATACTTCCCACCGAATTGAAGCGTAACTCCAGACAAAACATTTTTTAGTTTTAGAGCGCAGAAAGCATAGAAACTCTGCTTAGTTTTTATTTTTGCCTGTGTCCCTGTTAGCAAGTTTTCCTATTTACTCCTTGATGAATTTCTAACACCTTCCCACTCTTTAGTTATACTTAAAGTGGACCTTTACCTCCTTTCACTAAAAATCACATCAGCATGCAGCTCTGCATGCTGATATCAAACCTTCTCACATTCATTAGTTAAACAAAAATATTTTTCTATGTTATTTTACTGACAATTATTGTTTTTCCACTTCCTGGTCCTCGTGGGCATTAGCGATGTAATGTGCCCAAGCATTGCATCCTGGGAAGGTTACATCAGCAGAGCATTGCTGGGAAATCTCATCTGTAATCTCACAAAATCTCAAGGAAAGGCATTTTCCTCCCCTGAGATAATGTACATGGTCACATGTCCTAGTCACATGTGCCAGAGTTCCAGGAAGTAAAGGGACATATATTAATCTGCCCATAGTAAAAATGGCCACAGTGAAAAGAATGGGGAGGAAAAGAAAAATAAGGTATGCAAAGAATAAAAAGTCAGCAATTATTTAGAAGTATCTGTTTATAGATTGTTATTACTAAATATTACTTAATGTGTATTTGTTGTCATTTCAAAGATATGGGTAAAGTTCCTTTTTAAAACATTTCATTTTAAAGTAAATTTGGATTCAGAAAATCACTTTATTTTTATCCAATTAGGACCCAGTTCTATATCAGAGAGCATTCTCTTTCATTTTGCGAGTCCTAGCTCTGAATTTAGGGATGTGTCAGACCTCTGCAAAGAGAACACTGCTGTTACACTGAGAGCATTATCAGTCCTTCTCTACGGCATGCTGGCATAGGATAGGATGTGGCTGCTTTCTAAAGAAACAAACTGTAAGACTTTGAACACTTTTTGTTTTGATGTTCCTGGAATGCATTTAGCTAGTTTGAAGTGAAAGTTCCTAAAAGTAGATATAAGGCTGATCTAGCTAGTGAAGTCTGCCTAATTTTGCTTCCTGTGATGCCGCAGTGCTCCTGAATTCAGGAAGAAAGTTGCTTCTCTCATGTAGGCTGTGTCTGCTTGCACTACAGCGGGATTAAAAGATGATGCAGGGGGTGAAGCTATCAGCATTGTCACTCCTGACTCACAAGTATGTTGCTTGTCAGTCAGCACCTGGCCACACCTAGTCCTGCCCACTGCTATCTAGATTGACAGCGCTGCCTCTGTTGCTGAAATCCACCAACTTGGAGCTGCAGTTTCTGGGAGGGGTAGCATGCTTGAAACAAATAAAGGAGGATTTGGCTCAATCAGAGAGGGTAAATGAATTTGTATTTATTTATAAGGCCTGTCCCTCACAAAGTAACTGAGTTTTCCGTACTTGTTGAGACTGTCTAAACAACCTTTAGTTGCACTTTAAAGTGCATCTATGCCCAGACTATGGACAATAAATTAGTTACATACTCATAGCAAACAGTAAACAAAGCTTCTTTAAAACAAGTCCTCACTCACCTCTTTAGCTACTTTTAATGTTAAGTTATTCATTCTTAAAGACATTCAAAGATCACAACAAAGACTCTAGAGAATTTCTGTTGGTTTCTAACAGTTTAGAACCCTTTTCTGGTTGTATACATTAGAAGGATAGCAGCCTGCCCAGATCTGTTCTCATAGAACAAGCTAAGATTTCAGTTTCTGTGTTATGAACTCTGAAAACGAATTTATCCACAAAGCTTACAGATACAGAAGTAAATGTGGTCTGTTTTAAAGCACTTTTCCTTCTTGGTCAGAATATATAATGACTTTAGTGTGCATGATCTGGGCACAGGAACAGCACTGTCAACCGCCTAATACAGTTTGTATCAACCTCTGTGCTGCTTGACATGGGTATCCTAGAAGGCTATGGGAAACACATACTGTATGTCATTCTCGCCTAGACGAGAATGCAGTAAGTACAGGGAGGGTTCCCTGAAAAACATATTTAAAAAGAAAAAAAATGAAATAGCAATATATGATTGTTAGAGAAAAGGGAGGTAGAAGTGGAATGAGACAAAGTGGATGGGGAAGGTGAAGGTCTGCTTTATTATCATGGCAGAAATATGGAAGCTACCACTGCTAACCTACCTAAAATGGTAGTTGCTTGGCTGTCATGCTGATCTTCTTGCTTAAATACTTTGTGCCAGATACTGTAATAAGTGTCTGACTTTTCTCTAATTCCGGGATTTGCATACCCATTTCAGGTCAGTGACTAAAAAGGTACTGAAACAAAAGGGTCAGCATAACAGTCAACAAACATTTTCCTAAAGTGTCAACCAGTGGCAGCCCTTGTATTTGTCCTGTGACAAGTTAACTCTAAATAGATTGTAATTTGTGTGGCCATCTTAAGAAAAACGTAGATTTTGTTTCTTCTTCTTGGACTTGCGCATGTTAAGCAACCTGTGGTAAGGCATGTAATATGTGTGGCTGCTTTGTGGTGCTATTCATTTTAAATGGCACCCCAATACACTAAGGCAACATACCACAAGGTGTAAATGAGCCCGATTACTGTTTATATATCACATTATTTCTGCTCCTGGTCTCTTATCCTTAGTTTTCTAGAGTACCTCTCCTGAGGCAGGAATTTAATAACATTTACATATTGCTGATGTGTTGATCTTATCTAGCAAAGTTTTGCATTGAGCATTACATTTTTATGCATTCAGCCGATATTCGCCTTCATATAAGACACAACAAAATCTAATGTTCATTTAATTTTGCTCTGTCCAGGAAAAATAATTCTTGAGAGTTGAAACATACTTGGCAAAATAATCCATAAAATAGGATATTATGATAAGTAGATTTACTTTAGCTGCCATGTATAGTAATGAATACAATCATTCCTGAAATAGGAAGCATATGGAAAATGGTAATTTATGTATCCTTACAAAATGTCAGATTACTTCACAATAGTTCTTTACAAGACAGATTCAAACCTAAAAATCTGCTCAGTGGTCCTTATGTAAACTAATACGTTTTCCAAAACAGCATGTGTTGATCATTAACTTTGTCTGGAAGATGGAGAACGTCCTATTATGTAGGACTAAGCCTTGTATCTTTTGTAGAAATATTTATTTTCTGCATTTAATTTTGGGTTAAAGACCAACTCTACCTAAAACCTTTTTGGGCATTTTAGGTGGAATGGGGCAGAATGGGATCCCGCACTGCCTCTTCACTGTTGTCCAGGATCTCATCTAAAGCCCTTCCACTTCCAATATGATCATAACTGAAATCAGCTTTTTAGATTAGTGACCATCTTCATGAATTCTCCATATATTTCCTGTAAAAAATCTATTAGAGGCCCCCCGCCCCTGCAAGTGTGTTCCTCATACATGGCATATAATAATTTTTTATTTTCGGGTATTTTTCTAAATACAGCGCTCATACTGAACTACCTATGTGCAATATATCAACTCAGAATATATTATGAGGATGCGTTAACCAAGAGAATGCATACAAAACAGTCCTCATTCTAAACTACCCATGTACAATATGACAACTCAGTATATATTATAAGGGCTTATTGAAGTATTAGCCAACAGAATACTTACAAAACTGTTAAAGTAGTACAGGAACTGAAAGTTGTGTTTCCTAAGGCTGGAATATTATTTCCTTCAAAATCTCTGGAAAAAAAAACACTTGATAGAAATACACACTTAACTGTCTGAATAAAGTTTTTGTACATATGTACGTCATCACCTTAATGTAGGTAAAATTTACAATCTATAGTTTGTAAATATATGTCTATATATACTGTGCATTTGTTTTTGAGTAGCTGAGTTTCCAACTAAATATGTCTGCTGTGCTCCCTGCTTTGTATTGCTACATAATGATTGTACAATACAGTTCTTCTCGCATTGCAAATCTGTCTATAGAGATGAGCCAAAGGATTACTTGCTGTTACTCTCACGGCGAGTCAGAATGGTTTACTCCAACTATTGACTTGGCCCAATCCACGCTTTGCTTAGTCTAGTTTACTCAAATGACCACTTACCATCACACCTTTGTAAGCACAGTTGTAGTTGCACCATCCTAAGCAGGAAACCCAGGATACAACGGATGCCACTGTTGACATCACTGCTTTAATAAGGAAATACTGTACTAACTTATTAGAATAACACCTAGTAAGTATACATCTTCCTTATTAGGGCAATGATGTCACAGTAGGTGGGGATTCTTACCCCATAGGCGTTAAAAGCAGGATGCCTCCAGGTGATCTGAGGTCAGCCAGAGGAAAGGAACCCAAGTTCTCTGGCTACTCTGATCTTAGTAAATTGGTAAGTTATTGCGCATCACTATTATGTTGCTCAGGGTAGCTAAAAACAATGTAATCTGTTATCCAGTGACCTCCTTTCTCAGCAGTTCTTTAGCAAGGATGATAATTACACCTGTCCGACAAACAGCCAGTAGAAAAATTTACAAATCTGTCAATAAAATACTAAAGAGCAATTCAAAATGTAAACATTACATAAATAAATTACTTTTGCACAGTGTTCATGTTAATATATATATATATATACACATATATATATATATATATATATATACTGTAAATAAAACAATCAGTACGTTAAAAAAACTCAACAGCTGAAATCATAAGCAAACATCAACTTTTCTTGTTATACTAAGTTTGGCTTTCACCCTTCCACATCATGGGCCTCCCTATTGGTGCTATAACATAATGATGTGTGTTGCCATGGGTGGAGATGGGTGGGGCATAACTTGACTTTCAAATAAACAGGCAATTTGCTTATGAATGTTATCGGCCTATTATCTCTGGTTCTGCTGATGGATTTGATATAGGGTTTGTTACTAAAAGTAACCTTGGCTTATATAACATTTTATCCTATGATCAGTTTTACTTCTTGCCAAAGCTCAACTCCAACCAAAACATTTTATTTTGCTTTGGATAGAATGGAAAAGAGTTCAAACTTCTGTCTGGTATTGTTGATGTCTGAGATCCCACTATGGAGATTAACATTAACAACAGCAAATTATAAATCCACCTTGGTCCTTGGTCCCCAGTTTCTGGGATATTTCCTATTGCTCCTGGCAAAAAGTGGAGCTGTGGGGAACAAACTAAAGGTGCGTATAAGCCCCTGCAGAGGTCAGGTTTAAATTAGATTCAAAAGACAGGCTCACTTTGAGGTCAGGCTGTTTATAAAAGCTGTTACAGTTTTTGTTCTATTTCAAATGTGAAGCAAAATTTGTGTTAAATTTTCTGTTCAATATATATTCCTGGTTTGCTCGGGAAACATACTTTGTACTTACAGCCAGTTTAGCTTAGGCATATATTGACAAAGTGGTTTGTCGGGTAATCGGCCCAGGAAGTTGTTCAGCATGACTCTGTACAATACAAAAAGTAATTTAGGACTTATTTTAGTACAGTCACAATATATTTTTTACCTTTTATGGTACGAACAGGTTTGCTTTGACACATGCAGCAGCACAAAAATTCAGGAATGTGCCCAAAAATGCAGTTAAAAAATGAAAAACCCTATAAAAATGCATGAAGTAATATACAAAAAAACAACAATATATATATTTTTAAAACACATGGGCTGTAATTGATCTCTTCTTGAAAAACTATTTCTTGTCCTTTCTCCCTTTATGCAAAAGTGAAAACGTTTTAGGCCAGATTCTACATAGGAGAAGTTTATATAACTGTACTGTCGTATTAAAACAGTTTTTCTTCATATTCACCTTTACAACTGTAATATATGAGATGGTATGAATAAGATGGTATGACATTGCAGAATGATCCAAATAGCAATGAAAATAAGTCTCCTAAAAATCAGTATGCATATGTGTAGATTCAAAATTTATAAAGGAAACAGATATATAAATGAGTCATTGTGACTGTTGCTTCCCCTGTGATGTAGATTAAAGTAGGTGCTGTATTGGATCATTACATAAAGATTCAAAGTGTAAAACAATGGGTGTTTTTCTACTCTCAATAAAGACTTCACTTTAATTAAAAAAAACAAAACATATTGTTTTAACCAGAAGAACTCTTGACATGACTGAAAACAACTCAATAATAGGGATGGGCAAATCTGCCGTGTTGGATTCACCAAGGGTTTGGCGAATCCTGTTTGAAATTCCCCAAACTTAGAGGTGAATACCAGTAAAGTATTTTGAGGATGAATCCTGTTATTAAATTCAGGCCATTTTTAGAACTAATAGGCAAACTACTGTCAAAAAAGCCTGGCATTGCTATTGGGAACATGTAACAGTTCCCCAAAAAATTACTGTACAAGGGAAACATAGTCTTTTCATATGGCATAGACTGCCACATTGAAAATGCACAAATCCTTTAAATAACATACTTGGAAGATGCCCTAAAGCTGTACACAGTGTTATTGAGACATTTTCACGGACGGTCTCAGTGACAGTGCATATTTGGAATATTGTGGAATTGATTTTTTCTTTTTACAGTTAGCTTGGCTTACATTCACCAGCAGCCCCCCAATCTGATTCCTTTCAGTTTGATAAAAGTCTTTTTCAGGTAGTTTTAGTGGTAACACATGCTTTTTCACCAAGTGATAATAGGCTTAAATAGCAATTGGCTAGTAGTTCACTGACCTTTGCCTGTTTTTAGTGATTCAAAACTGTCCTGCCATTGATCAATTTCTATCAAACTCTTATTAGGAATTATGAAACCACAGATAATACAACACTGTAAAACTGTCCAGCACCAGGTCATGTTTCATGAGGAAAAATGTACCAAAATGTACCAGAGAAAAAGAATACAGGTATTTTACTACATGAATTTGGAGATTGCAGATGACACAGTAGTGTAAAAATGGCCAGCAGTACGACAATAAATTACAAGGCTGGACCCAAATTTACTAGAAACAAAGAGCACTAGTCAGCAGCAGGACTGTGTTAATCAGGGATAAAAGGTATAACCAGTGTATACCCAACTTCTTTTTTTTATCTATAGGGATTGGGGGTTTGGCCAATGTGAGTAATAGAATGTAAACCTCTATTAACCTGTTATGGCTTATGATTATTGGTCCACATGGTTTACAAAGGGTCTTGTTCTCATTAGCATCAAATGTAAAATGCATCCATACGTCTGATCTTCTCCTTCTCTCTGACGTTGACATGTCTGTACAGTTTGTGCAGCAAGTGTTTGCTAGCTGCTGTCCCGTTGGGTAGATCAGTAGGTTATTATTCAGTTGTTCATGTCTCCCTACTACAGGAAGAGCTCAGGGAATCGGAAGCCAAATGCAATAGTAACTCCCTGAATTTTCAGTGAATTCCCAGAATTTTCATTTAATTTTTTTGCTTGTCACTGCACAGGTGAGTATTTCTTCTTTATTTGCCCCTAGAGCAAAATGAGCAGTTAACCCTCTTGCAATGTGGGCGGTAGACCCACTGCAAAGGTAAATTTTTTACATTTCCTGGCGTTCTTCTATAACTCCTCCATTCCCTTCTTTCTTTAAATCATTTTGTTTTTTTCCCATTTCTCTGTGAACAGGGGGTG